TAGAGTCTAGAGGTTCACCAGCTAAAGGGCCAAGATCAGATTCAGGAGGTACTGGAAAAATAAACATGGCTTCTCGAGTCTTCCAGACCTTCAATAAATGTACATGGTATATATGGACCTACTTTCAGCTCCCTGGCAGCCTAACTTTGTAGTCCACCAGTTCCACATGGCATACCACATCAAATGGGCCCTGCCACTTGGCTAGGAGCTTTGATTCAGTCAACAGTAACAGTAACAGGACTCGGTCGCCTAGTTCAAAGCTACTGTCCCTAACCCCCCAGTTGTAGTGTCTTTCTTGTGTTGTTCAAAGCTACTGTCCCTAACCCCCCAGGTGTAGTGTCTTTCTTGTGTTGAGTGAGTATCAGGTTCTTCTGTGCGAAGACACCCAAGGTCTGCAGCCATTCTCTGAGACGTAGCACATATTGGGTGGTACTGAGCACCCGAGTGGGTTCAGCCACTTCCAGCAGTGGTTTCTGATACTTTGGGCTCATGGTCGTGCCTCGGGGAGTACCCTTCTTTACACAGCCTCTGCTGGTAAGTCTCCAAACTGATACTGGTAATGCCTAAAATGGCTGCCTTCACCCTGGATACTCCAGTGCATCTCAGGCGTCTAAACTGCGATATGCCGTCTATGCTGGTAAGGTAAGGGCCGATATAGTAGCTCAGTGTCCTGCAGCCAACAAGCTGCTGTAGCAACCTGTTCAAATGTAACTAAAAATGCCTCGGGGTCATTCCCTGGTCTCGTCTTGATTAGCCGGCTGGGCAGCCCTACCCTGTTGTCTGCTGCTCCAGGACCCACGGCAGCAGAGCTGGGTGGACCCATAGGCTATAGCAGTGCCGTTACCTGTTGAAGCAGGCCTTCTTGTTGGGTCTGGTGTTGGGTGGTCAGCTCACAGAGCAGCTGCTGCTGTTGCACAATTGCACCTGTTGGTGATGGGTTGCTTGCTGCTGCTGGTTTTCCACCTTCCACTGTACGAATTTCTCCATATTCATTTCTTTACCTCACTATGGGAACAAAGGGAGGCTCCCCTACCCCACTGTCTCTCTACCTGGACCTGTCAGCAAGTCCTGGAATATGCCCATGTTCTCCACCATGTGTTGACACTATTCCAGGGTGATAATGCCTCCTACTCAGCTGCAGGGTCGCCGACTGTCTCTAGGGTCTATAAATATTTCCTTGTCTCAGGGTAACACCGAGTCCATAAGCAGCCCAGGTTACAGGGTAGTATGGCCCAATGACCAGAGTCAACAAATAGCCCTTGTCTCAAAGCAGTGTGGCCTATTAGCCTGAGTCTTTAAGCAGCCCTTGTCCCAGGACAGAGTGGCTTAGTAGCCAGAGTCTATGAGCAGCCCTTGGTTCAGGGCTGTGTGGCCTCAGGGATAGGGTCAGTAGGGATGGGGCAAGGTAGGGGGACCCAGGCCCACCCTGCTCCACTGGGTCCCAACCCAAGGCCCTGTGAGCAGCAGAATGGTCTGCCACTCCCTCAGCGAGGAATCTGGCTGAAACACACTGAGAATACCTGGGTGGGAGAGGCTGCTCCTGTACCCTCCCTGGTCACTTCCCACCACCTCTGTCAGGTCAGTGTCCCAGGTAGAAGCTGGGTCTTCTAGTTCCTCAGCAGCAGCTTCTCCCTGGAACACTTCAGGGGTTTGTCACGGCCGTCTCCTAGGACTCCGATTCCCGCTGAGTCACTGGCTGCTGCAGCTCAGGCTGGACATCCTTCTCCTTTGCTGGCCACCCCAGACTGAGCTGCTCTGCTGCCTTTTATACTGCCTCAGCATTTGGAGCATGCCCAGTCTGGGTGAAGGGGCGGGACTTCCTCAACCCACAGGGTCTTAACCCTACCTGCTTCAGTGTGGGTATGAACACCCCATCACAGCTGCCTGTTTTGAACAGACTTGAGAACTATTCATTTGTTGCTCAGTGTAAGCGGGGGAATGGTCCCGCTATTGTGGGGAACTTTCCTGGCTTCTATACACCCCGGTGAAATGGACCAGCGAAAGGATCTGAGTCCCCGCTCCCACTTCCTTTACCCCACGGCCTCCCTGATCCTGAGGGCTCCCCCTCCACTCTCCTGAGTAGCAGAGCCCTCAAAACCCCAACAAGGCTGGGCCCAGGTTTCCTGGGGCTTAATCCCCGACCTTGTAGTCACTAGGGGCAGGAGTTAGGGTGTCCCCACTCCGAGGTGCTCTCTTTACACTGCAGGCCTTCTTGGCCCAGTGATCACTTCATAAGGTTCAAAGCAAATACAATTTATTAAACATCAACTGATTAAAGAGAAAAGAATAAGAAAAAATGAGAATGGTTAAATGAGAACACACAGCCCTGCTCTGTAGCACAGGGACATCAAAACAGCAGCCTGCAGAGTGTAAGGACAGTCCACAGTCTCTTCCTTAGAGGCCCCTTAGAGGCCTTGGATGTGCTGCAGGGGGGGGGGCTGCAGGCTGGACACGCTTGCTCTGGCAGTGACCACACAGCCTCAAGCTCTAAGTGGCCAGACCCCTCTCCCAGTCCAGAGCCTCTCCCCACACTTTGCAGTTCCCAGCTGCTCACCACATCCAGCTGCAGGCTGTGCTGTGTGGCCAGTCTCTAGCTTCTAGCATTGCTTCTCTGTTCCTTTTGGCTCTCTGAGCACTTCTAGTCTGCTGCTCAACACAGGGTCTGCGCTCCTTGAGCTGTGTGTGTCTGGCTCAGCTGCTGCAAAAACTGCCCCTCAGCACACAGCTTGCTTTGCTTGGGCTGTCTCTCAGCTCCCTGTTTTTGCAGGACTTCTTCTGCACACTGCTTGCCCCCCCCCTTGGGCAGTCTCTCAGCTCTCTGTTTGCTCAGAGAGAGCCAGAACAATCCCAGCTCACAGGGAGGACGGGTCCTGGCCTCTTGCTTTTCTCACTGGCCTGTCCAACTTGTCAATCAGGCTAAGCTGGAGTGTTGGCTGCTTTCCATTGTCTCTGGGGTCTGTCAGTCTCATGGACCCTTCCCCTGTTGACACTGGGAGCTGGCAAGCCAAAAAACTCCCACAGAGTTTAAGTAAGGGGCTAACAGTCCCCTTACATCAGCTTCAAAGCCTTTGTTATAAAGATGTGAAAGCATTCCTCCTTCACTCCTGTCCACTTTTCAAACAACAATACATTGCCAAAGCCCACAAAGGCTCCAAAGAAATCTGGATAAATAAAAAGTGAAGATGGTTGAGTGAAGGTAACATATTTGGAATGATACTAAAAAATTCCCACTTTTGGAAACTTCCCAGCTGTAGAAATGCACTTCAGGAGGAGAGCTGAAGAGGGCTTATTTAAAATGAGAAAGTATAACACTTCTCTCAAATCGGTCAGAGGATCTAACTTTGGCACTGTGAGTAATGCTGTACAAAACTGAGCTCTGTGTGGCAAATATCAGAGGGAACACATTACACTGCCAGGCTGTAAAAGGAAGCATCAGAATCTAAGGCTGTGTCTACACTGGCATGAATTTCCGGAAATGCTTAAAACGGAATACTATTCCGTTTTCAGTTTTTCCGGAAAAGGAGCGTCTACACTGGCAGGCTGCTTTTCCGGAAAAGCCCTTTTTCCGGAAAAGCATCTGTGGCCAATGTAGACGCGCTTTTCCAGAAAAGAGCCCCGATAGCCATTTTCGCGATCGGGGCTTTTTTCTGGAAAAGACTACTGGGCTGTCTACACTGGCCCTTTTCCGGAACAGTGTTCCGGAATAAGGACTTATGCCCGAGTGGGAGCAGAATAGTTTTTCCGGAATAGCGGCTGATTTTGTACAGTAGAGCATCGTTGCTTTTCCGGAAATTCAAGGGCCAGTGTAGACAGCTCACAGCTTATTCCGGAAAAGCGGCTGATTTTCCGGAATAAGTGGCCCAGTGTAGACACAGCCTAAGAGAAGATCAGGAGTGACCAACAGAAACAGATGCTATTTTAGTTACATTAAAATGCAGTTTAACTCGGAAAAATGACTATATAAAAACATAACCTTCCTACTCAACAGATATGCTCCACCCAATACATCAGTGTCATAACTTATGACTTGAGTGATAGCAATACAGTTCTATTGCATTGTACTCCTGTTAGAGTCAACACAGCTAAGGGTGAATGAAGGACATTCTATTTTGGCTCAGAAAACATCATCATCGGAACTGTTAATTAAATAGTAGTGTCAGGGCAAAAGCTGTCCTCAATGAAGATAATGGGCTAAATTCTGCTCAGTTATACTGATGTATTGCACTGGCTTCAGTGAAATTACTCTGAATTTAGATTAGTGTAAGTGAAAGCAAAATTTGGTCCTCTGGCAAAACTGAAGGCAGAATTTGGCCTGTAAAATATTTATCTATTATTGCTGGTGATGCACAAGCCGGAAAACAGGTTGTTTTTCATAACACAGCCTGAATATGCTGGGCTGGCAGACAGAAAAAGGCATCTTACTTGTAAGCTGATAACATTTGAGCTAACGTGATCAAAGTGAGACAGAAAATACAGAATCCCACAATGCCTCTTTTACTGTCCTGTTGCAGAAGACACCACTTTAAAGGTCTTTTAAAACCATCATTAAGAGCAGAGAAATGAATGTGGTTGAGAAAACTTTACTTGATTATCTAGAAATGCAAAAGGAAGCAGGAAAATAGAAAATACCTCCCCAGAGACCAACTGTTCTGAGATCTGTTGAGTTGTGAGGAAGAAAAAAATCTGGGAGATGCATATTTATAACTTTGAATCCTGGTAGCTGAGCTGTTGTTATTGCTATTTGTTAAAACATCTAAAACATGCATACATGTCCATACATGGTGGCCCATAGTCTCCCATGAGGGCTAACTTGCTTCAGCCATTAGAAGTTCCTGCACTGTGGCATGCAAACATAAAACTGAGGATCTCCTAAGGCAGCATCATTAGCAAAAACCGGCTTAATTTTTTCTTTAAAAATGTAATAGAAAGAAACAGTATGAAAATGTTCAAGAGAAATAAAAATAATGTGCCATCAAAAGCCAGACAGCTGGAATACTTACATCACTTCTATTCGAGCTTTTCTAGAGTCATTTCCTCCAAAAGAAATAACTTCGCAGGTGTAGTCTCCAATGTCACCTGACCAGGTCTGGCTAATAAGGAGGGTACCATCTTTCTGTACTGTAACTCTGGAACTGCCGGATGGGTTTATTACAACATTGTCCTTCTTCCAAACATACCTGGATGTCACAATGTTTCAAAATGTTAACAAGTACAACACAGCTCAAAAAGATATGTATAAGGTGATATCAGCATTCTACAGTAACATTCTACAGTAAAAATGGTGCTAAACTGATAGACCACTACAAATATGTTCAGGACTTTTCTGAACTCGATCTCAGACAAGTGATCAGGAAGAGATTTGTTATACACAAATGTTATAAAGTGGATGGCATATATATATATATATATATATTTCCATAGGGATATATGGAATGATTGAATTTCTCATGAGTGGAAAAATTATGAGTGAATTTTGTAGGCAAGTTTTAACAGGAACTGATAATACCATTAAGTAGTACTGTACTGCAAGTAACTTAATACACATTTTTAGATAAAAGCAGTGTGACTGAATCCTCGTCTGGTTTATTTCATTTTCTCTGTAATATCAAAAACAATCCCATTCTATAAAAAAATACCATTTCAGGTACAAATGCCCAAACATAAGCTTAAAATGGCCCTCTAGTAGGCATCTGTGCAGGTAAATCTCTATCAAATAATATCTGCAAAAAGTGAATACACAAGAAACTCAATACAAAAAGTAGCTATGGTCAAAGTAAATTCATTTTTTCAATTTAAACAAATACTGCAAAAATTTTCCACAAGTATTTATCTTACTCTTATTTTTATGTGTTTATGGGCTAGACCCTTAGGGGAGGGCAAAAAGCACAAGTCAAGAAGTGGTATATGTGCAAAGATGAATTAAAACTTTCCTTTGCACTCTCCTTATCAGCGGATATTTGGTGCAGACCATTCCCCCCTATTGTTCTAACCAGTAGAGTCCAAAAGACAGCCCAGTATCAGTAAATTAGAAACACCCTGACTCCCCCTTTTCTCCATCCATACCTCTATTCTCTATAACGTCAGAAAGGAAGGAATGTGGCTTAAAAGACTCCTCTGTGGTGTATGGATTACAGGATCACATTTACACTGGTCTGTTTCTCCCTCAGCTATTTACATCAGTTATATTGCCAGATCATACCAGTAACACAATGCAAAGTGGCTGCCGTGTGTATGCATGTGTGTGTGTATGTATGTATTACGTAAACCTTTTTAGAGCATACTTGATTGTAGGGTAATAGGCTATATTTTTACACACACAGAGCCACTAAATGTGTTTGTGTTTATATATAACCCTTAGCCCTACAGTCAAGTATGGTTTAAAAATGTTTACATAATTTATAGGTTCATTTTCTAACATTTTCCAAAACAACCCTCAGAGCCACAAATAACTTTTTCATTCATGCCTTTAAATGGTATATGTTTTAATGCTGGCTCTCATTTTGTTAAAAGCAGTGAGCTTCCTCTATCCTGTGTACAGATTTACTAGCCACATTCTGCTCTCCATTACACAGGGTTAAATTAAATGAGAATTTAGCCCTTAGTTATTGAAGTGTTTCAGTAAGTGAGGACAGTCCCCCCCCCACACACACACACTTTCAGCATTCCCGATGTAAACACTTCTGAAGTCCTATTTGATCCCTTTGGATTTTACTCTCATTAAGCAGCAGCTCCTGACAAGTTGGTTTTATTGATAGTGTATTAACCTTGACAGTAAAATCATGGAAGGCTGTATTGAAGTCATGAAGTGGAACATAGCTCATTGTAAATAATATATAAGACTGAAATAGAAAATGGGATTTATGTGATTAATGATGCACTCTACAACCTTATGATGTGATAATCAAGGGTTTGATGCTGAAATCTGGGATCCTGAAACTTCTCACGGAATGATATTCTGATAGTTTGTAAAATTAAGTTCAGATAAGCCAAACAAACAATAAAGGATGCCACCAACCTGATTGAAATTCTAGGATCATGAGTTGCTTCACATTGCAGAGTGGCTGTGGTTCCCTTAATAACAATGCTGTCTTCAGGAGGGTGAACAATAAAAGTGCGATCTGAAAGGAACAGAAGTCACTAGTCAGGTAAAATTAGAGACTTTTATCTTGTCTCTCTTGAAGGCAATGAACAAAGAGTTATTTGCCACTCAGGGCAAGAAGATTTCTTTCTCTCCAGCAATGGCACAGTATAAGTGTGAAGCTCTGTGTAGCATATGGAAGTTTGCCCAGTAGTTACAGCTAACAGGACAGTCTTAATACTACTTTATGTGGATTTCACCACCCCCCTTCCATCTGATTTAAATATGTAAAGGTGAGGTCCTAAGTATGTGATGGACAGCCTGTAGAGAAGCAGCAGATGGCACCAGCCTGAGCAGTTTTGAGTTAGTTAATCTGTGGGTAGTGCTTTGAATATGAAAAGCACTAGATGAGTACTAAATGTTATTTGTTGTCTTTGCTGCCACTAATTACTAGCAACCCTGAAGTCATAAAGCACCAAGAATATTTATGGTGCCACATAAATGAACAATTATGTACTTTGCTCCCATCCCTTAGTCAGAAATGAGCACCTATAGGATCTTTATCAGGCATTTAAAAAACTATAAAACCCATGTGGTGAACAGAAAAAACAGATTAACAGAGCCAGGTGGGTACCCAGAAGTCACCTACTACAGGAAGAACCCAACAAAGAAAACAACGGAATGTCACTGGCCACTACAGCCCCGCTAAAATGTCTCTAACACATCATCAAGGATCTACAATCTATCCTAGATGATGATCCCTCACTCTCATAGACCTTGGGAGCCAGGTCAGTCCTCGCTCACAGAGAGCTCCCCCAACCTGAAACAACTACATCACCAACTACATACCACATAACAGGAACATTAATCCAGGAACCAATCCCTGCATCAAACCCTGTTGACAACTTTGTCCACACGTCTAACCTGGTCACTTAACATCTGCCATAGGACCTAACCATTAATCATACCATCAAAGGCTCATTCACCTGCACATCTACTAATGTGATATACACCATCATGTGCCAGCAATGCCCTTCTGCCATGTACACTGAACAACCAGATTGTCTTCACAAAAAAGAAAAAATGGACACAAATCAAACATAAAGAACAGTAACATATAAAAATTGGTAGGAGAACACTTTAACTTCCCTGGATACATACTTACAGACTTGAAAGTTACCATACTGGAGCAAAAAAACCTTCAAAAACAGACTGCAGCGTGAAACTTCTGAGCTGGAATTCATATGCAAATTTGACACCATCAGAATGTGTCTGAATAGAAAAGGACTCTCTTATTACAATAAGTAATTTTTCCCGTTTAGGAATTCTTACCTTCTTATCACTGTTGGACATGGGCTACATCCACCCTAATTGAATTAGCCTCTTTAACACTGATGTAACACTCCCATCTCTGTATGTATTAATTCCTGCTATTTGAGAAAGTGAGCTGCAGCCCATGAAAGCTTATGCCCTAATAAATTTGTTAGTCTTTGATGCCACAGGACGACTCCTTGTTTTTGCTGAAACAGACCAACATGACTACCACTCTAAATAATACAGTGTTTTTCATGAACCCAGTCATAGTTTCTGGAGTTAAAAACTGTGCAAAGGAAGAAGATACTCAAAAAATTATTCAGAAACAGGAAAATGTAAATGGCACCTTATCCCATCAAACCTATGCAATGAGGATTCATGGAGCATGAATGCTCCTCATAAAAAAGGTGTTTTCACAAATATTGCAAACTATCTTCATTCAAACACCTCTCGAGACACAGAACACAATAATTGCTTGTAACTATAGCAACTAGATCAAATGTGAAAGATCTATATTATGCTTAGCAAAGAAGTGGTGGTAGCTCATAGCATCAGCTGAAGCAGCTAGACAGTCAATAAAGTGTGGAAAATGGGTGAATAAGAGGAATGCAGTCCCACATTCTAATATAGATAACCCACAATAAATGAGAAAACACAGTGGTACAAGAGGTGACCAACTGAATCAGATCGTTCCATGAGGCGTACAGCTAGTTCGGATAGGAAGCCTAATCTGAACTAGCTAGTCCATGCCACGTGTAGCCGCGCGGCACGAGGTCCGACCTAGCCAGCATTTAAAAATGGCGCCGGCTGGCTTTATGCAAATGAAGCCCGGGAAATTCAAATCCCGGGCTTCATTTGCAACTCCGTATGACTACATTACCCCCCCTAGTTCGAACTAGAGGGGTAGTGTAGACATACTCTTAGAGACTAAGCAGATGAGGTAATATCTTACAATGGGCCAACTTCCATTGGTGAGAGAGACAAGACCTCCTGCTGTACTCCATTACAGACATCTGAATACCAAGTAGTACACAGCCCACTACTTACACCATATGCCTAGACAGTAATATCAATATGACATTCATATATGACAGGTGTGTCTGGTTACATTTATTGGGGATGGATAGATGTCAAATGTGCACCATTCACCGTAAGGATAATCAGTCCCTAAGCTGCACTTCAAAGAGTGAAAAGGACAGGAGAGAAATGTACTTTTTATAAAAAGAGATTTTTATTCTCTATTCAGGATTTTTTAATCCTGTTTCTAATGGCAACATGTTAACCCTTCCTTATTTTAACTAGTCATTTGGCTTTCCCACATTGGGCTTGCATCTTATTTCCCACACACCAGGAGTAAATCAGGTGAAGTCAATGGGTCTGAATCTCTAAACCAACTAGGAGGTTACTCAATACAAATCCAGGTAACAGTGTAGGGCAAGCCAAACCTGAATTTGACTGGTGCCAGCCTGATCCCTAACTCAATTCAGAGCAGCTGAAGCCTGATGTATTTTGCATTGGCTGTCACTACCTGTTTGAGGTAATAATGTAATCAAGGGATCACTTATGACCTTGTGGCCATGCCCCCTTTTCAATGGCCATACATCCTGTGGAAGCAGACAGGGAGTTGGTAACAAAGAAGCTACGAGGACTGTTCTGTACAATCTGAAGGTTCCTCTAAGTAGGCAGAATACTTACGGGGCCAGCTCCATCAGCTTTAGGACTGATTTTCCCTGCCAGAGAATCAGTATCAATGAAATTACACCAGTGTGAGATCAGACTTGATCCAATTCTATATTAAATTTGAGTTTCTTTCACAAAAATATTCAGAATAGCTGTCCAAATATACAAAACGTATATCCATCCTTTCACAAAGGATAATTTGTTAGATTTCTTTAAATAGACACATTATTCCAATTAATTTATATAAGTTTTTCTACTAAATTGAACGGCGTAATAGTTTGACAGTTTCCTGAGAGCACACCAAAAACCGATTAATCCTTGATTAATGTTAGATTTCAAACAAAGCATTATCCTTACTCCAGACAGTCAGGATAGCGAAAGCATTCAGAGCTCCTTCAGAGTTGACTGCATAGCAGGTATAATTGCCAGCATCCTGGGGGAAGACGGGAATAACCTGGAGCCCACCAGACTCAAGGAGGATGAACCTGGGAATCTGAACAGAGCCACTGGCTAAGATCTGGTTCCCTGAAACACAGGAGGAGGAAACAGCAAGACTCTGGTTATTTGCACTGCATAAATTAAGCAATGAAATTCCAAAAGATTAACCACACAAGATGCTCTCACACTCACTCATGCCTCCACATGAACACACACACATGCATCCATCTCTTCTTGCACAAAACACACAAGAGAAAATTGAGATGTGCATGCTGAATGGACTCTCCCAAAATATTTGAGGGGAGAATAGAGCAGGAATTACTATAGTTTCACAACAAAATAGGTGTTTACCTCTCTTCCATGTGATGGCAGGTTTTGGAGCCCCAGTAACCTCACAAGTTAATACTGCACTCATCCCTTCTGTAACAGTAGTGTCCATTGGAGGTCGTGTAAATGTTGGTTTAATATCTGGAATAAAAAAAGTTAAAATTAAATTGGATCACCTATAAAAAACAATCCCTTAACTATCATCCTGGAGAGGTTTACTGGCTCTATAAAAGTGGAAATCATGGGGAAGGACATGACAATAATAAATGAAAACCTTTCAGCAGTGACTGTAACCTTTCATTATTCATCTCCTAGGAATGATCTAACACAGTTTATTACCTAAATGGAAAATAAAATCTATCAGTGCTTGTACAAATACAAGCTAGAGGTCTTAATGATGAAAGTGGAAAGGTGTAAAATTAGTGTTTTGAGGGAAGTAGGGAAATCTAGATAAACAAAACTATTTGCTTTCATCTCCAAAATACAGAGTTCTTTAAGATGGAAAGGAACTTGAGAATGATACTAACTTTCAGAGTTAAATGTCAGCCAAAAACAGTTAGACTCCTATTCTCATTCTATACATTGTTGAAGTTTTTTTCTTTTTTATTTCCCCCTAGTTGAATTTTATTACATTTTTACTGCCGTTTCCCACATATATATCAAACTGTTGCAGATCTGTTTTCTAAAGCCTAAAGAATTCTCGTCAGTACTTGTATAGTGTCCTTGAGCTTTACAAAACATTACATTGGCAACCATGAAATTTTTCCCACCAAATAAGATGGCACAGTGATTCAGTCACTAAAACTTTTAACTTGGCGTTTACTGTAGAAAAATACGTTCAGCTTGGAACTTCTGACTTTCTATGTCTTGTTCCCCCAGCACAAGCAACCTAAAGTGTTGCTACACAATCATAAAACAGTAGCCTGAATTATATAAAGCATTAGAACAATACACTTCAACTACAGAACTAAAAGGGAGAGAGAGCGAGAGCAAGCAATTCTTTGCTCCCAAATGTATTTGTTTTTAAATGTAGCAATAAACGCTGATGCAAAACCCATTGATGGCCTATGAGCATCTTTCCACAGACTTCAATGGGCTTTGCATCAAAGCCCAAGTGCATATTTTTGAGAGTGCATTAGTTCTAGAACACTTATAAAGTTATGGAACTGCTGGTGTTGTCTCTGTAGATTTAAATAGTCAATCCGAATCAATCCACTGCACCCACAAAGCTGTCCAGAAGTTTATACAAATGACTGTGGCCCTTTAATCAATTAGCTGAACAGGGAACATTGCTTTCATTTATCATTACCATAGCTCCTTACTCACTGGTTACATCCAGGTAGGTGTATGTCTGTATCTCTCCAGCTTTATTACTGGCAAAACACTGAAAGATTCCAGAGTCATCAGGATGCAGTCCCTGGATTTGCAGTCCCCCATTCATTAGGACTTTGTAACGAGGATTCTGTAGCTTGTTGAGAGGAACAGAATCCTTATACCAGGTTACAGTGGGAACAGGAACTCCTACATAGTGAACAAAACCAATTCAGATCACTGCATAAATCAGTACAATCAAAATACACAGCAGTGTTATATTAAAATATCTGAACACAAAATTGAGCCCTATAGAGCTTACTTACCCCCACCCAACATATATAGATTTTGTACAAAAGCAGTACGATCAATAGTGAATGCAAATCCATGTTATCAATGACAGTTATATACTGTAGAAAGGGTGATGACAAACAGCGAATAACAATAAAGCATACAGATGGCATGGTGTTTTCTTTCCCATAATCATACTTCATGTTTGGGAACATGTTTTTTTTTTTAAATAAATTAAAAACCAAAATCCTGTACATGTAAAAGATAGCAATGCTGTGCTACAGCAATTCCTGCAAGTGTAGCTTCGTCCCAAATATGAATCTTATATGCCACTATAATCAAGTGGTCAAAATTAAAAGAAAATGGGAAATTGCACATTAACAATGAACTGTTGAAGTGTGTGTAACAGGTATTTTAATTCTTAATTTAACAATCCTTTCATAACTGAGCATGGCTCTTTTCTTGCATATATATTTATATACAAATATTGGCACAGATCTTCACTTCTGCTGCAGCCACTTCACCCCGGTCTGCTGCTGTAAATTCTGCAGGTGAGGCCAGTGGAATCCTATGACACCCCCATCATGATCCCTTTATTGTCCTCCCCCTCCAGCAGTTCCTGGTTCTTCCTAAACAGTTCCCAGTAGCCTAAAGTCAAACAGCCATAAAATTGCTTTGCTGTAAGATGGAGCTGGATGACCCCAAGATTGGGATGTCATAAAGGCTTAAACTATATTGGCTCTATTCTTGTCTCCACCACATGCTGTGTTGACTGTATCAGCACAGCTGGAACTCAGACCAGAATCTGAACCACTGACCGATTCTAAGATCAGTCACCATTTCGCCTTGTGTGGTTTTTCACTGGATCACTGATTCCCCTGACTGACCCTCATTAGTTTGTTCTTGGTCAGGCCAGTTTTCCTGGACCCACCACACCAATTAAGTCTGTCAACTCTCCAATTTTAGGGCTTGCAGTCACCTAACTGTTTTCCTAGAGGCAGCACTGTCTCCTCTTTGCTACACATCAGTCAGAATGCCCTGTAAGCTGGGCTCTTGGGTGGCCACCAAGGAGAGATTCAAATGCTGCCCAATTGATTAGTACAGTGCCCACAGCTGGAAACATGTGTTTATATTGGTGGTGCACATCTGCACATACCTTGGTGCAACAACAAAATGTATTCCATGCATGGTTGGGGAAAAAATAAGAGGGAACTGTGACAGGACCCCCATGCTTTATGCAATTGGTTTATGAATATACATATGCATAAATCAAAGATACTTAGGACAAAATATCTCTTTAACCTATCAGTTCTAATGTTACAATCTGCTGGATCTGTATAACTTATTTTGGTATATGTAAAGTTAGAAATACGAAGTATGGGATTGCTCACGATTTTAAATTTGCAAATGAGAGCCATCAATGGTGCTCCAGAAGCCTTAACAAATGGGCGATCAACTCATTTTGTCCTTTAAGTCAAAGGAGTGGTTGGTCCTAGGAAGACCTGTGACCATACCAGCTTGTACTGGGATACCAGTTTGACCAGCTACTTTTCCATGGAAGGGGGGATATAGAACAAAAGTTTCCCACCCAAGAAAAGTCTTTTTAAGCACTGGGAAGCTATCAGTCCCTTTGTCTTCAACTGGTTGGGGGAACAAGGACAACTGGAGACCCAAGTCAGAAATAAAAAAATCATCTTTGAAAAGGACCTGGGGATTATAGTCAATGAGAAGCTGGATATGAGTCAACAGTGTGCTCTTGTAGCCAAGAAGGCTAATGGCATATTAGGTTGCATTAGGAGGATTATCAGCAGATCTAGAGAAGTGATTGTTCCCTTTATTTGGCACTGGGGAGGCCACATCTGGAGTACTGTATCCAATTTTGGGCCCTCCACTACAGGAAGGATGTGGACACATTGGAGAGGGTCCAACGGAGGGCAACCAAAATTATTAGAGGGCTGGACCACATGACCTATGAGGAGAGGCTGAGGGATTTGGGTCTATTTAGTCTGCAGAAGAGAAGAGTGAGGGGGGATTTGATAGCAGCCTTCAACTTCCTGAAGGGAGGTTCCAAAGATGATGGAGAGAAGGCTGTTCTCAGTAGTGACAGATGGCAGAACAAGGAACAATGGGCTCAAGTTACAGTGGGGGAGGTCTAGGTTGGGTATTAGGAAAAACTATTTCACTAGGAGGGTGGTGAAGTACTGGAATGGGTTATCTAGGGAGGTGGTGGAATCTCCGTCCCTAGAGGTTTTTAAGTCCCGGCTTCCTGGCCGGGTTGATTTAGTTGGATTGGTCCTGCCTAGAGCAGGGGGCTGGACTTGATGACCTTCTGAGGTCTCTTCCAGTTCTATGATTCTATGACTTGAAGCCTTGCCTGAAATAAGGACAGTTTTTAGGGTAAGTTTGCAATAATTAGCTATGTGTTTTCCTTTCATTTTAATTCTGTAACTTACTTTGATCTGTATGTTTTCACTTGTAACCACTTAAATCTTACCATCAGTACATAATAAAAACACTTTAGCTTGCTCTCAAGCCCAGTGTAAATAATTGTTACCTCGAGGAACAATCAGTGTGCACATCCGCCTTTCATTGATAAAAGGGGCTTGCCTGAATGAGCTTTCATTGTGTAAAACTCTTACACAGAGAAAGGCAGATTTGGGGGGTTGATCCCATTTGGGGGGTTGGTTTCCTGGGTGTTGTGCCCTAGAACTGTATCCTTCCAGAGCTAAAGTGGTTCAGTGTCTGCATTGTTCTTTGGGGAGAGGGGCAGTTACACCAGCTCTGTGGCTTGGCTGGGTGGACTGTATCCTTCCAGAGCTAAAGTGGTTCAGTGTCTGCATTGTTCTTTGGGGAGAGGGGCAGTTACACCAGCTCTGTGGCTTGGC